GCAATGTGTTTCCTTATAACATACGTACATCGTAGTAGCTTCCTAATTAAGTAACAGAAATTTCTTCCTGAGCTTTTCTCTTTTGCGTCTACAAACATGGTAGAAGCGTGTACTGCTTGGTCCAGAAGAGATTAGCTGCCTGATTCAGAATCATTTTGGTAGCCCTGGCCGTCCTGATGAACGTACAAATCTAATTTCATGGGAGCTAGCGGACTGGGTGTGCAATTAAATGGGCATCAACAGGGTTGGTTAATCATAGTACATAATAGCATTAATTTTGCAGGTGATTATCAGATTTGTGTTTTAATTGTCACTCCAGGGAATTACTTGTCCAGGGTGTTTTGTTCTGAAGATGCATGATAAGAACCCCTGGCTGTGGAGACTTAATTTCAGGACTAAAATTAAATCCTACTTAGTGTGTGATGGATTAATAGTCATGGAAAGTGTTCTTCCCCAGTCAGTACCCAGCACAGCATTGCTGCACAGTAACTAGAGTGCTACAGTGACGCTTTCAGACCTGATGCTTTCTTTTTTTAGAGATGTGACTTTAGAAACGAAAAAGGAAAGAAAAAGAGGAGTTTGAGATAAAGCAGGCTTCATGTAGTCCCGGCACAGCCTCTATTTTTAGCAGGACACTTTGCTCTCGCTTGCACGGGTTCTTTAACTACTTAGGCAACTGGGGTCGGAAGGCTTGACTGGATGAGCCCAGGAGGGTGCTGGGAAGGAATGCAAATCAGGTCAGCAAGCATTTTCATGTAATTGTAATAAGTAAAACAATAGCTGAAGCTGCATTGCCCAGTGTTCCTTCCCCTGGCACAAAAGCTTTTCAGGAAGGGCAGTTGCCTTGTGGGACGCTGTGTCCTGGGTGAAAGCACATGCCCTGGCTTTATGGCAGACAGTGTCCTTATAATTCTTTGATCTGATTTGGCCGTGGCTTTTCAGAGTAAATCTGAATCATTCTATTCTCAGCTGCTAAGCTGACATTGTAGCACGCAGAAAGTTGTAGGGGGCCTATTAATACTCTGGATTTAGAATAAAAAATCTGAACTGTGCACAGACAAGGAGACAAGTGCTAGGTTATCACTTAAGTCCTATCCTAGAGTTCTGAAGTGTTTGCTGTAAACCTGCCCAGTGCAATCTCCAGTAAACTCCAGTGCTCAGGAGACATCCTGGTCAGTTCGACTAAAAGGGTAAAGCCTTAACAGCGCTCCATCTATGGCCTGGAGAGATTACTTTATTCTGCACACGCATACCATCCTTCTCAAATAAACAGTCGCTTTTGTCGGGGCGTGTGTGCACGCGCACTCATATTCTAATGAAGACAACTCCGTACAGTGTGTGGAGAATGACTTCTGGCTTTGTGTAGGTGCCAACTTCAGTTTGGTGCCTCAGTCCAAAGTAGTGGATAGTGAGTCCAAAAGAGTCACTGCTCTAAAAGGATCAGTTTTTAACAGTTTTGTCATGAACAAATGTGGTGCGCAGTGCTGGATTTGGAAGATGAATGAATTTGCTGTTGCAGTTTTTAAAGGGTCTGAAGCATCTTGTAGACTCATCGGGGTTTGATGTTGTGCTGACACTTTAGACCTGCATAGTTGCCTCATGGAGATTTTCTTGAAGAGTGCTTTCACTTTGTCTGCACAATAGTAATTCTATGGGCATCTGGGAGAATTTGAAAAAAGGAAAAAAAGTGGTTCATTTTGGTTTTTGCCCTCATTCCCACTCTCTGTCTCATTTTGCAGGCGGCCGCATCTGCTCATTCTCCCCCTGCATCGAACAAGTCCAAAGAACCTGCCTGGCAATGGAAGAGTATGGTTTTACAGAGATTAACACTTTGGAAATTCTGCTCCGAGTGTACAACGTAAGGACAATTAGCTTGCAAATCCCTGACCTTGGAAAAGCAGCTGAGGATAATTTGAGCACTGGCTTTGACAGCAGCAACCCGTCAAACCAAGGTAGCCTGTGCGCTGAGGCACAGCCCGGAACTGCACAGTTCAAAAGCGGCGTGCCACTCCGCGAGATGGTCGGGCACACAGGGTACCTGACCTTTGCCACCAAGAGCCTCTCTTAGTACGTGTTGAGTTTGTGCAGCTTTGGAGGGGTTTGTGTGTTTGTGTGCGTGTGTTCTGTTTTCATGGTTCTTTCTTGACGGGCATCCAAATTTTTACTCGTCAGAGAATTCCATATATAGTCAGATTTGGTTGGAATATGCTTTGTTTAAATAGCACATAAGCATTAACCAGAGCAGCATCAAGGGAATGTTGAAACTCTGGAATGGTTCTCCACTTGCCATCAGAAAGAAGATAAATTAATAGCGAATGGCCATTCACTGGAATGTGCAGAATAAAGATCTCTCTTGACAGGAGAGCAAAACAAACAGCACACTAATTGCAAATAAGTTGGATCTTCTTGTCCTCTTTTCTGAATTACTTTCCCAGGTTTATGTTTTGATTGTTTTTTTTCTAGCACCACTAGACACTTTATTTTTTATCTTCTCTAGTGTGTTGCGTTGCTCTTAAGAACGTGAAAATGCCTACTTGCTTCATTTTAGATGCAAAAGTTCCGAGGTCATAGGATTCCCAGAACAACTGATCACAGAATTAGTGTTTCATTGGAATAGTGTTCCTTGGCATCCTTGGCTGTGCGGAGGCTTACTGGCAGTGCTCAGTAAGTACTCCTTTCCCGACTGGCATCTGCAAGTCGTTTAGATTACACAGAGGTCATAGAAGTGGGCTAATTGTTGGATTTAGTTTAAAATAGTGTATTGTGCTCATCGATTTATAGCAGAAATTTGGACCTGGATTCGTGTTGTAGTCTTGTAATGGATCATCCACTTTCATAATTGATGAATCCACTGTGAAATTTCACTGAACAGCTGGTTAATATTATTTGAACAACTCTTTGTAAGCAGTGGGGCTGAGGTTCCGTTTATTTGGTGGTTTATGTGCATTATGGGGTATTACCTTCCTGCAGCTGAATGATAGATTGCTTTTGGTGGGATTTCTGTCTCCAGATTGCAACAACAATGCAAACTTAGTAAAATCCTCAACCAGCTTTATTTACATTTACTCTTTGGTCTTCTGTACGAAGCTGGTGGGTGCGATAAACTATTTGAATGCTGGCTTAAATTTTGTATTTACAGAATAAAATAATTATGCAAATTTACAAAGTTCTTTCTTTCTGCCTTTTTTTTTTTTAATGAACTCATAAATAATTTTACTCCAGCCACTAGTACTATCTAGCACATTTAGCTGTGCCTTGCATCCGGTACCTGAATATATCGATTGTGTTGAAGAACAGTAACCATTCATAAACTGCTGCCTGAACATTTGAACCTGATGTCCCTCCCCCGTTCTTGACAGAAATAAACAAAGCTAAGCTGTTAACATGTTATAGCAGAACGCTAATCCATAACGGTTTAAAGAAAGCTCAAGCGATCACGACAGCAAAGATAAACTGTTGAGCAGATTAAAGGCAGAAAGCAATTCTGTTGGACTAAATCAGTTACGTAAGTTGGCCTACAACTGTAGCATTTCTCCAGAAATTATGTGAAAGTTCTCTTTCTGCTGCTGTTCATGTCCTCCAGAAAGGCATGCCGTTAACTGCCGGCACTGTTACATGGTTTGGTAGCTGTAGTACAGCAACGTGCTTGCACGTGTGTGCGTATGCACCCATTTGTGTGCTTAAACCACCAGGCTACGGTACTGACGTAAACCTGGAGAAAGGATGGGGAAGTACAACGTTAAAGCTACAAGGTTGCTCTTAACTTTCTTCAAGGTGATTCTCACTCCCTAACAAGTGGGATCCCCAGCCTACACCGGGATAATTCCAGCCCCAGGCTTGATTCTTTCTTCCTGATGGACTTTATTTTAAAGTAGTGTTAACATTTAAACAGGATTAAAGAGGAACGAAGTCAGGTTTCTGCCCTAGAAATAGACATGGAGTGGAAATACCAATGTATCTTCGCGGAGCTTGAAACAAGGCTGATGCCTTTTTGCCTACAAAGCCCAATTCAAAACCCCTTGAAATAAACCATTGACTTTGTATGGTCCCGTATTGATTTGATCCGATCCCTGCTGAGGAAGGGCAAGCATTGCGTAAGAGGAGAAGGATTTCATTTCTGCCTTTGCAATATTAAAAAGCCTTCTGTGTTTTTGTTGCCAGTCTCAGCCATGACCGGCAGCACCACACTGCTTCCTGCTGCTGCTTTGTTGCCAGGGTCACAGGGAGGACCCCACAGTGTCCAGCGTGGATGGTGCTGTGCTGCCAGAATCACCCACTGTTCAATTTTGCTTTTGATCGCCTGGGTTTTACACTCTGGCTACCTTGCCTGCCAAAAGCGGTAAATCAGAAACATGGATCTTTCCTGCCACACCGGGGGAATCTGCCCACGCCACACTTTCAAAGACTCATTTGTCTTTTTCATATGTTTTAGTCTTGAGTATGGAATGAAACATCTCTAATTCCTGCCCTGACACAGCCCAGTCGCACGTTGGCAGGCTGCACGTTTTCACTGCTGCCGTGCAGTCTGATCCCTCGGTTGTTGCGGACGAGCTCCGGCACACAGCTCTGCCTGACAGCCGGGTTCAGTGTGGCCAGTTGTGCTCCATGCCCTGCAAGCTCATGTGGAGAGCAGTCTTGAACACCTCGCAACCTAGAGAGCAAGCAGCAGTGACTAAGATGAGGCTTGTGAAATACTTGAGAAGTCTGCTGGTGCTTGCTTTTCACCTGTGCTTTAATTAAAGCATTGCAGATCTGTATCTCAGTGTGGTTGTTTCCTTCTTACCTGTTAGCACAACATTGTTCTCCTCTAAGAAGATGTGATCATAAATCCTGCTTGAGAACCTTGAAGGGATAAAGTAGCAAAAACACCAGGAACTCACTCTTCGGCTTGATTTCCAGCTCTGTCTTCTCCTTAGGTGCTTTGGAATACGTGATGGTGAGGAGATGGTTCTTCCTGGGAAGTGTTACAGAGATGAGGGTTCTGGTTCACACTCCCTCCCTTGGGAGTACATCTGTGCTCCATTAGTCCTGGTGTACTGGACCATTGCGGAAGTCGTGGTGACCTAGAATGGAGGGGGGCCCAGAGATGCAGCGAGCCTCGATCTGCTTGTAAATACTCACGCTCATCCCCACTGAGGCTGCGTCATTTGGGTGGACGAGTGCACTGGGCAGCCTGTATGTTCATGCCTTACCAGGTTCCTTCTGAACAGAGACTGGAGAAAACTGTGTCCTCCTGGTCTGCAGTTCAGCGGTGGTCAGCGCTCCCAGCCCACCCCTGATGCCAGCGGGAGCAGTGCAGGCTCAGGAAAGGAGGGCTGAGAAATGGCTGGGCCCTCAGAGGCTGTTGCTGTACCGTCTCTTGACTTCTGCTTGTGCAAATACAAGAACGGCGTGGTAAGAGTGGGGTGGGAGAGCCAATGTTGCATAACCATGATGTTACACCAAAGGTACGTGCAGCTGTGACCAGTCAAAGGGAGGAAGGGGATTACTCTGCTACCAGAAAGTTCTGTCTGTGTCACCATGAGGGAAAGCATTTACATGCTGCTGGCCTCTCAAGTGCTCCTGAGGAACTATGTTGTTCAGATGCCAAAAGAGGGGAGCCAGATTGTGTTATTTCCTTTCTCCCTACGTGACGGCTTCTGGGTTGGAATGAATCTTCATCAGTATCAACACAGGGAACAAATAAACCTTGGATTAAATAGTCAAAGGAAAATAATCCTCCTCACTGGTATCCAGCCCTTCACCTGCGTATCTCACCCGGGAGCTCTGTGTCCTTCTGCCACAGGGCAACAGCTTTGAGCTCTCAGGTTTGCTGGCTGATAGGCTGATAGAAATAAATGCAGAAGCCAGCTGGGAACACTGGTCTGTGGGACATATCACCGCACCGGGCTGCTAAGGTACTTTGTCCACAACTGGGCTTCCCTTGCTGTGGCGTGGTCCCTTCCTGTCATCTCATTGCTTCTGCCCTCAAACCCGAAATTAACGGATGTACTGCTGGAATGTGCCAGCTCTTCCTGGCCTTCCCAGGCAACTCGAGTTGCACAGACGGGTTTTTGGCAGAGGCAAGCCTTTTCCTCTTCTGTTTGCAGGACCGCAGGGCAGGAGAAGGGAAGTGCAGGACACGCAGCTGCCGAGGCGCTGCGGCTGTGGCTGCAGCGAGGTGCTGCAATGAGAAGCCTCCTGATCGACCCTGGGCACCCTGCGAGAGCGGTGCGCTGCCACGGCAACAGCACAGCATCATTCAAGGCCCTGAAGACCTCAGCCCGAAGTTATTTTGGTGGGGCCTGAGTGGGCTGATGCTCAGTATCGTATTCTTTTGTAGTTCTTAAGAGGGCGATTTGCATGAATGGTGCCAGTGGAGCTGTGGAGAAGCTCTCCCCAGGGCTCAGGTTAGCTGCAGGAAATGTCACTGAGTGAAACTCAGAACTACTGCTCCCAGAGGTGCTGGCTGAGCAGTCAAAGCTGCCTAAGTAGAGGAAGGAGCTTTTTCCATCTTTTTCTGATAGCACTGATACTGATTCAGCATGAAGCCTGCGTGCAAGACTAGTTTTAGTCAGGAAGGAGAAACTGTTGCTTTAGCAACCTCCCTTTGTATTAGGCACCGTGCAGGAAGGGGAAGTCTTGCAGTGGGATTTTCCTCTCTTATTTTGCTCGAGTAGGTGCTATAGTCCTCCCTCCTTCCTTGAGTTAAAAGTACGTTAGCAGTAGTTGCCCCTAACACAGGTATCTGCCACTCAGTGTGGCTGGTCCCTGGGCATGGAGAAAGAAGATTTGTGATGCTGATATGTTCTGAGCCAGAAGGTATTTTATTCCACTTCAGGGTGGTGAGGAAGACGGTGAGATTGTAGGCTCTGTGTTATTTTTCACACTGATCCCCCATGCCCTTAGAAATTGTCCATGAAGCACTATTTCATAATAATAATTAAAAAAAAAAATCGGGAGCCACCTATTCCCAGGAATCAGCTGGATTTAGGAACCAGATCTGCTTGAAGGAAGAAGCGGAAGAAGCAGTAGCAAGGTAGAGAATGATTTCTGGAACAAGGCTTCTCCTCTCCTGACGTTTTGCAATGAAGAGGCAATTCCCCAGAAGGTTCCCCTTAAAAGCCATGGATCAGAAATGCTCATTAGCGAGGCTGTCGGTTTAACCAGGCTGTTCTAACAAGGCATGTAGGCTGGGATCTACAACTGATGGAGCAGAAAGGAGGGAGGGAAAGCAAAATAGGTTTTTAAAGCATCTGCCTTCAGTTGAACCTGTTGGATTACATGTACGTCATGCCAGGCTGTTGTTACAACAGTCATAGTATGGTCTAAATTACAATATACATATAT